TGCTGATATGTCTCGTCTACAACAAGCAAGAAAAGAGGAAGCCTTTTCCTATATTTCTGCAAGAGGCTGTTTCCAGGACTTAAACCGTGACCTCTTGGTCACAAGGTAACAGCTTTACCACTGTGCCAAGGCTCCCCTTCACATTTCAAGATATTCTATATTACGAAAATTACTTTACATAATAAATTCAACAGATGTTAATCAAGCACTTAAAATATTAATTGTATAAAATATATTTCTAATGTATACACAAAATGTATAAAAATATACAATGTGCATTAAAAAGTTGAACATGTAATTAAAAATTTTAATCAACAATTTGATTTTTTTAATCTGTATGAAAAATGTTGACCATGTATTAAAAATGTTAATATGGTATTTTAAAAAGTTAATCAAGCATTTGAAATATGCATGCATATTAAATAATGTCGACCATGTATTCGAGAAATGTTAATTTGATATTTGAAATTATTTAATCAAGCATTTAAAAAATAATAAATGTGTACATAAAATTACCATGTATTCAAAAAATGTTAACAGGTATTTGGAAAATTTTAATCAAGCATTTAAGAAATGTTAAAATGTGTATAAAGAATGTTAGTCCAATCATTTGAATACAAATTAAGCGTCAATTTGAAAAAAAAATCAAGCATCTAAAAAATATTAAAATTTAATTAAAAAATGTTGACCATGTGTTCAAAATTAAACTTACATTTGAAAAATATTAATTTTATGGTAGAAAAATGTATGAAATATGTACCAAAATGTGTATAAAAAAGCAAACCTCAAGAGAAGAAAATCCGATGAAAACGAGAAAGAAACAAACAAAATCAAAAAAGAAAAGAAGAAAAAAAGAAACAATAGGGAAAAACCAACGAAAACTGGGAAAGAAACAAAAAAAAGGAAAAGTCCAGTAAAAATAGAGAAAGAAACGAAGAAAAAGCCATGAAAAATACAAAGAAAAACAAAAACAATGAAACAGAGAAAAAACAAGTGAAAACCCAGCTTTTTTACCCTCAAGTAAGTCACACTCTACTATTATATCACAAAGCCGACAGTAGCTTAGTGGCTCGCAAATCGATCCCTCATTTCTTTCAATAAAGTGTGTCGTAATGGTCCGGCCATTTACTGTATCCGCTTCAACGAGAGATCCTTCCACAAAATTAGCTCGGATATGCATCTTTGACCTCCAGATTTCCATAGGAATTCTATACATTTCTTAGTTGCATGCTTTCAATGATGACATCAGTTGCCGGACTTAGCGAAAGCAGGGCCTCAAGGATCAAAGGAAAGGAGAAAGAGGTCAGGGAGGAGGAAGGAAATCACAGCAACTACCAGGGGCGATTCTACTGGGGGCTTTAACAGGCTCAAGCCCCCCCTCCAGCACTGTAAAATTTGTTTCTACTACTAATTTTAAGGCTCAGCCCAGCTATTTGCAGCCCCAATCCAACACATATTTGCATGACCCAGGCAGCCCAGCCCGCCCTCCATTTTTTTCTAGATTCGCCACTGGCAACTACCATGACAAAAGACTTCTTTTTTTGAGGGATAGGCAGCTTGGTCTGCCTATATATTAAGCAGGAGAAAAATCAAATACACATGTCTTACAGATTAAAGGACAAGGGATGGCCCGAAACAGTGGGCAAAAACACAAGGAGCTAGTTAGGCTCCGGTTCTGGATCATTTTTGCGAACGCTGAACCAGTGCAAGGAGCAAGGAGAGTGCAGGTTGCATGATGTCCAACTTAATGAGATCCAAGAGGGAATGCTCGGAAATGAATTTATGCTCGAACGCCCTTCGGTTCCTTTCCTTCCATAAATTCTAATTGATGTATACTCCATACTTCAAAGAGTACGCGATTTTGTTCGAATTCCAGCCTTGATCGCCCTATGCCCAAGGTGACAAGTCACATAATTCCACCAAGCCTTGCTTGAACTATCAGCCATAGCATTGCCTCCCAGAGCATGAATCTCGATCACATAAGGTGCAAAGGCGATTCGTTGACCTGATCACATAAGGTGCAGTAGCAGGGGTCGTGGATGATTCCTCGCTTTGCCAGGTTGTAGGTGGTCTGAATTCTGCACTTGAGCCACAACCAGAAGGAAAACCGGCACTTAGGCTCAACATTGGCCTTCCAAACTTGCCTGAAGTTGACATCCGAGAAAGATCCCAGGAATTGGCAAGTGTATGCAGAACTAGCAGAGTAGGTACCAGAGGTGTCGCAGTTCCAGGTAAGGGTGCCTACAACTTGAGGGTCCAGAACAATGTGCTCCTGCGAGCGGCCCGGGCGAAACCCTAGATCGCCGCCGCCGCTCCCTTCCTTCGCCTTCCTTCTCTCTCGCCGCCGCAAGGGACGCCGCCGGGCAAAGCCCGCGCGTGCGTCGGCGGCGGCGGGGCTCCCTCCCTCCTCGCGAGGCTCCTGGGCGGCGGGACGGCCGGCCCTCGCGGCGGCGCTCGGCTCGGCGGCAGGTCGGGTCGCCGGCGGATCTGTGGGGCTCCCCTTTGGTGGCGCTGCGGTGATGGCGGCGGCGTGGTCTGCGTGGGGCGGCGAGGCGCGGGCTCCTCCTTCTCCCGATCTGATGGCGCCGCGGTGGCGCCGGCGCTCGGGCGTGCGGCGGGGTCCGCGAGGGTGGTCGGCGCGCGACGTCTCCCTCCCCGATCTGATGGCTTCACGGTGGCGCCAGTGCTCGGGCGGCGGTTGGCGTCGACAAGCGGTGGCGGGCGGTGGGATCTCGGTGGCGCTCCGGCGTGTGCAGGCGGCGGCGGTCCCTGTGCACGGTCGGCAACTTCGTCTCTGACCCGGACGGCGCGGGGGATGGCGGTGGCCCGGCGTGGCCGGCGATCTGGATGCGGTGGTGCCGGTGGCTCGCTGATCTGCCGGTACTCCAGGGTCTGCCTGGTGGTGCTGGTGGTGACGGCGGCCCGTGCACGAGAGTTGGATTCCTTCGAACTGATCTGGGTGAAAACTTGCCTTCGGCTTCTGCTAAGGCCGGCGGTGGCAGCGCTATCTGCGTCATTCCCTTCTTGAAGGCATCGCCGTGGAGAAGTTCAAGGCCACTCTCTGCTACCTCCGGGGGAAACCCTAGATCGGATGATCGGATGATCGGTTGACGGCGGCGTTCTGGTGTCGTTCCTCCCTTGGGGGCGTCATTTTTGGAGGTACACACGTGATCGAGGGACTAGAGGACGGATTCTTTGGTGGAGCGGTGCTTCATCCTACACACTGATGGCGACGGATCTTGACGGCATGGCGCAGTGCAGATTCGGAGTTCGCTGTGGGAGGATGGACTCGCACAGGAGGACGGTGCTGTCGGGCGTCGTGGTGGCGTCGATGGCAGAGAGACCTGGCACGGTACATGCAACAGTACAGCTCTGAAGATGGATTTGTGGCAGGTGGCTGCAGCGGCCTCATACCTGGCAGGCGTCCTGGTTGAGGAGTGCGCCGGACTGGTAGGTGCCCCATACCCGGCAGGCGTCCTAGTTGGGACCTCAGGTCTTAAATGTTTAAGTTTGGCTGTAATGTCTGTTTGGTATTAGGCTCAGACTATCTGCGTCCCTTCATCAATTGGATAGGTGTAGCGACAGTTGTTGCTTAGACGGTGGCTTTAGTCTTGCTGTTGTATGGCTTTATAAGGTTTTGTGATAATAATTAATAAAGTGGCCGTATGCATCGCCCAGATGCAGAGGCAGGGGGTCATCCTCCTTTTCTAAAAAACTTTCAGCCATAACGAGATGAATTGGCTTGTGTGTTATTTTTTCTGTTTATTTAGTTGGCTGCAGATTTTCTTGCTAAGGGAAAGTTTTTATTTTTTGAATTTTCTTATTTTGTTTTGAATTTTGGCTAAAGGAAAGTTCGGTTTGTATGCCCACCTTGTAGTGCCGTACACGATTCAGTTCGAATTCCAGCCTCGTACCCCATCTTTCTAGCAATCTACTGCTATTTTAAATGTAGATGATGACAAAAACAATGGTTAGATGTGCTGAATATAGTTTCTCGTACTCTGTAAGTATCTTTTGTTCTCAATAAAGTGGAGGCAGTGGGGCTGTTGCCCTAATATGCTAGTAAGTCTGAAGCTGCTACCACAGCCACAAGACAAGACAATTTGCCACCAAATGTGCATAGAAGCCATCCATGTAAGGTCTTCTTCAGTTGAGCGCAAGGCGATAACACAAAGAAGAATCACTCTACAGCCTCATCTTGTTTGGTACAAATGGACAGCAACTCACATTTCATTTTTCTCAAAAACAACTTGCAACATTTAGTTCAAGAACCTAGTAAAAATCAAATCAGTAGCACAGAAATGAATCATCATTTCTAAATCTCTGTTTGCGTCACATAATTCAGTTCTTAGGAGCAGCAAGCGAGCCGAAGCGTCAGCAGGCATTCAGCAATTCCCATAAATTCACTCTGATCATCACTAACTTATTAATGTTGCAAATGGGACTGCGCTGCGTCCCACTATGTCATCACTAACTTATTAATGTTGTCTTATTAATAACATCAGCACTCTGATCATGCTTTTAGTTGAACTTGGTATCATACAGTCCGGGTTCAGCGGAGTGTAGAGCAAAGAAATTCAGAACAGGTTAGTCTTATTAATAGCATCCATTGCAGCGACATGTAGGTGTTCGAATTTGATCACAGAAGATGTGAAATCCTTTTCTCTTTCCCCCTGTTTTACGCCTTTGTTCAGAGTTGGGCTGTTCGGTAATCGGCACATGAACTGAATGAAGTTCCTCTGTTTTCCGTATGCCTCGCTCTGCTAAGTTGCTTTTCCCGTCTAACTCTGAACGCCGACCCTCTCTTGACAAACACAGCCTCTGGCCTTTCAAACAATAGTCACAGAAGCGCATGGATGGACAAGGAGGGTGATATTGAGTGATATAAACTCCTAGCCGAAATTTTCATCATCATCATCATCGTGGTGTCTTTACAACCGATCAGGGCAACCGGCCAAATCTGATCTGAGGCCATGACTACATGCTACTAAGCGCTAATACTAATTGGGTCCCCAGCAGCTGAGGTACATGACCGTCCTCAGCGCCTCCTCCGCCTTCTCCGCTCGCCGCCTCTCCACCAGGGCCGCCGTGGAAGCCGGAAGCTGCTTCGTGCTCTGCGAGCCGCCGGCGCGGACGTTGGCCTTGGCCTTGGCAGCTCGGTGGATGGACTTGAGCGCGTAGTTCCAGCGGCAGAGTCCGGCCTGGTCCTTGAGCGCCTCCACCGCCCCCACGCTCATGGCCACCATCCACGACGCCTTCGCCGGACCAGCCATCTCTTCTCTTCTTCTTGGTCCTGATGCCTTGCTGGAGAGTGGAGACTGGCTTGTGATCGCCGCGTATGTCTAGTAGTACTGGACTTGCGGAGTTGCGGTTGTGAAAGAACTGAACTGATGCTCGTTTGTGTCGACGGGAAGAAGAGTGGGAGTGAGACGGGGTTATATACGGGAGAGGCGGAGCAAAACAGGCGGCCGCGGGAGCTGGTTTTCCAGGAACCCGGGTGCTTTCGGATCCACCTTTGCTTGCTTGCGCCGCATCCCTCGCTGCCGACGTCCCGGTGCAGGTAGCTGCCCACCACGACTCATCTTGTTTTTTCTTTCAGCAGACCAACTGACCAAGCCAGCCGGCAGAGAAATAGATACGAGCAATGGAGAAGAGTGTGCCAAAGCTTTTTTCCATAAAAAAGGTGTGCCAAAATTTACTGAGTAAAACTAGTAGTATTGTATTTTCATCAAGAAAGAAACACAATAGTTCTTGGTTTTCACTTTAGTGGCTCTTTTTCCTCAGCGTGCAAGTCCACATGTTTTCTCTATAAATATTCGTTAGATCAAGGAAATAGACCCAACAAAATTTCTAATAATTTTCTTACTACTTTCAAATTCTGTAGATTTTCCAACAAGAGGTTGCCTTTTCTATTATATTTTTGGTGTATTATGTGCATGTCTAAATCTCTGCCACACTCTCATGTCAATTTCGAGGAATCTGAAGTTCTTATTAGAGATGAGATTAGCCTCCTCCAGGGAGGCTTGGGAGTAGGATGCCGTGGACATGTATAGCTGGGCTGGCTCGTCCCAGTCTCAGGCCTCTTTTTCTGGTTTTCTCTCTTGTTCTTTCCTCCCAAGGCTACTTTGGCCTTTGTACAGTTTTTCCCCTTCTATAATGAAAAGATAGAGCACCTGCCGTTCCGGTAAAAAAACTATAAGTGTCTATTTACCTAGAAAATCTTATTTATAAGCACCATTGATTTTTATTCGATGTAAAGCAAGTAGTTATTATTAGACAATATCCAAACAATTTTCTGATCTTAAAATATATACCGATAACTGTTATTTATTTTTAATGCTCGTAGTACAAAAAACGTTCACTACATCAACTTTAAGGGATATATCACCAGCAAAAAAGAATTTAAGGGGTATATGTTTTTTAACTACAAAACAATATTTGAAGACACATGAACATTTTTCTGAACTATTAGAACATATATTTTCTAAAAATACACGAAAACAAAATATAGTGAGCAACATTAACATGGTTTGTGAACTACTAGAAGAATTCTGGTGAAATATATGAACATATAATGTGAGTGTTCAACATAAACATTTTTTATGATTATTGAAATTATTTTGTTGATATACACGAACGTATATTTTATGAATCAGAATAATTCTGACATGCTATGCTAAAATTCCCTTTTTTATTTAACCGGCACTCTATTTTGAAATCTATTTATACGTACAATAAATTTGTTTCTGATGACTTCAGGTATGATTTATGCAGTTTTTAAGTTCTCTTTTTACATGCACGCGCTATTGTGGAACAAACCTGTGTCAAGTTAAAAAGACGGCCACACTCATATTGAGCTAGCCCCAAGATCCAACTCGTTGCTTGGGCAGGCTATAAGCGGTACATAGAGCTCCTTCTGGCAAAATGTCGGCCAAAATATTTGCAAACAACATTGATTGGTATAATTAAGGATCACAAACAGTAAAATAAAAGATGCAAAATACGTAGGAATTTGCTATATCTAGCAATAATATTTAAATGAAGTGCCTTTGAGAATTGAGGTGAGGCAGACCCAAAAAAATGCTTTGTTGGACATATTTTTTTATGTGAAAAGTTGTCTTAAAAAAACCAATCCAAAATGGACTTAGCTAGGCATGCATTTTAGAAACTTGGTATTATCCATTTAGACTAAACACTTTTACTTCTTAAAACAACATAATGATTATACATATTTTTTTTTGGTTTGACACAACATTGCCAAACAATTTTAACTATTTTCACTACTATATACTAACAACATAAACCACAAGTACTAACTTAAATGTAAATATTATAACATTGAAATTACTATAATGCTAAACTAACTCTATTTTGTTGCAAACCTTATGTTATTTTAAACAAAATCAATGATCTGAAAATGCTACTTTCGGAAGCATTTTGGAGCACTGATTTTTTTTTTTGCCACACCTTCCAAAAATGTGACCTCATGATAAAAGTTTGCCTACACTTAGATCATTTGTCAAAGTTTACCAAAAAAATCAGATTTTTTAATATATTTTTTCAATTTTACTGTTCATCCAAACTCATTTGAGCTCGAGCTCAAAAGGGTACTTTCGGTGTCAAAGCTTTTTCCGTAAAAAAAGGTGCCAAGATTTACTAAGCAGTAGTACTGTATTTTGATCAAGAAAGAAACACAATAATTCTTCATTTTCTTTTTAGTGGCTAATTTTCCCCAGCGTGCAAGTCTACATGTTTTCTCTATAAATATTCTTTAGCTAAGGGAAATAAGACCAACAAAATTTCTAATAATTTTCTTGCTACTTTCTTATAGACTTTCTAACAAGAGGCTGGCTTTTTTATTATAATATTTTTGGTGTATTATGTGCATTTCTAAATCTCTGTCATGCTCTCATGTCAGTTTCAAGGTAGCTGAAATTCTTATAAACTAAGGAAACTACGAGTGTCTATTTAAAAGCTGACTTAGAAAATCTTATTTATAAGCACTAGTGATTTTTTATTCGATATAAAGCAAGTAGTTATTATTAGACAACATTCGAACAATTTTTTTCTCTTAAAAGATATAATGATAAATTTTATTTATTTTTTAATTCCCGTAGCATGGAAAAGTTCACTACATCAACTTTAACACATATATCACCAGCAAAAAAACTTAGTTCTTTTGGGCGATTCTCCCAGAATCGCCCCCCCCTCCCCAGCTTCCCCCAGAATTGCCACTCCATTTTTTTGTACAATCCTAACTAATTAGACCTTAACTATATAGGATTGTAAAAAAATTATGGTGTGACGATTCCGCGAGAAGCTGGGGAGGTGGGCGATTCTGGGAGAATCACCCAAAAGAACTGGCCCAAACTATATTTCTTTTGTGAACTACAAACTATATTTGAAGATCCATTATTTTTCTTCAAACTATCAAAACATATATTATCTCAAAAAACATAAAAACAAATATATTGAGCAACATTAACATGGTTTGTGAACTAACAACAAAAATTTGGTCAAATATATATGAACATATAACGTGAGTGTTCAACATGAACATTTTTTATGATTATTGAAATTATTTTGTTAAGTACACGAACATATATTTTATGAATCAGAATAGTTGCATGATATGTTGAAATTCAATTTTTTATTTAAGCGATATTGTACTTTGGAAATCAGTTTATATGTACAATGAATTTATTTTTTATGACTGTAGATATGATTTATGTTCTTTTAAAATCTCTTTTCGCACATACGCACTATTGAACGAACCCGTGTCAAGTCAAAGAGGCGACTACGCTCGTATTGAGCTAGTCCAAGAAGACTAGCATAGCGCTTGCGCAGGCTATACGCTGTACATAGAGCTCTCTCTGACAAAAAATGGATAAAACATATCTGGAAACAAAATTGATTGGCATAATTAAAGATCACAGACTGGAAAGTAAAAGATACAAAAGAGCTAGGATTTCGATATGTCTAGTATAACATGAAGTGCCTTCGAGTACTGAGGTGCCAGACATGTAATGGTCTTTACTAGGCATGTCATTTATAAAATTGGTTATTATTTATTTATACTAAATATTTTTATTTTTTAAATAACATAATGGCTATACATTTTTTTTTTGGTTTGACATAACATTACCAAACAATTTTAACTATTTTTTCGGGTATACTAACATCATAAACCACAAGTAGTAACTTAAATATAACTATTGTACAATTGAAATTACTATAATGCTAAACTAACTCCATTTTGTTGCACAATTTATGTTATTTTATGAAACTTGTTTTGAACTATTTTAAATTAAATCTAAATGTAAGAAAATGCAAAAAATATTTTAGTATGTCTGGATTCATATACATATTAAATTTTGTGCCACTTAGATGCACAAATAATGCTATGTGTTTGATTTAGTAGTATCTTTAAATATTTTGATACAGAGCTCTATGATATGTGCCTAGCAAATATCTTAACAGAGATTTGTGGGGAACAATCATTTATCGGAATAGTAATTGTTATGATATTATTGATCAAGTTAATTACTTGGAAGGAACTTTAATTTTCTTGGAAAGTCAACCTATTTTTTGATTTTTCTTGCTTCAATGACCCTAGGACAAAATCCAAAATGTTGGTCATTCAACGGGAATTGGAAAGGCAAATGTGTTATGCCTCCCCATGACATCGCTCTCGCTCTGACCAGAACATGTTTTTAGAGCCCTCCTTCCCTTCCCCTCCCATGCTGGCTCCCTCCCCACCATCTTCGGCAACCACGATGGCTAGTGGTGAGTGGGAGGGGGGCTTAGATCTTGTGCCAAATAAACCTAATCGTGGCTTAACTCTCCTGCTCTTCATGATCCATCTTGTGGTCATGAGGGCTGGAGCTAGGGTGGTCGGAGCTCGCCGGCTAACTGGATTTGAGACCCGGTCATGTCTTTCCCCCCTGGTAGGGTTGAAAAGGATGGTGGTGGTGTGTGAGTGTGAATTCTCACCCCTCATCTTAAGTTTTTTCTTGCCTCCATCGTGAAGGGAAGAGACATGCACGAGGAGAAGAACATCTAAATTTGGTGTTGTGGCTCGCTAGTGTTGCCTCTCTAGAGCTGGAATTGCAATTCTCTTTGCTACTTTATCTCAAGGTCATTACATGTTGTGCTTATTGATAATCTACGGTGCCCATTGAGGTTCTCTCTCTCCCCCCTTCTCTCTCTTTCTCTCTCTATCTCCCAAAGGACTATACCTCGATGGTCTGCGGTCGATATGTCTTGCCCCGGT